TTGAAAGGATGAGGTTGTTCGAGCAGAGAATAAAGTCTCAGCTAACTCCGAACAGACTCGGTGGACCTATCTTTTTTTGGGATATGGTTTTCCTCACAAATCTATATTTATCACCTTCCACTATAAAAGAGGAATTATGAAAACTTCAGCGTTCAACAATCCCACCTGAGCGATGCGCACTGCATTCGACACCCAGTCAGAATCGTAGTGGCCGATTGAATGCGTCTGTGGCTGATGCAATAACCTGCGTTGGCCAGCCGATGTGCCCGTCGGTACTCTTATCCCCCTGCAAGTCTGGCACGATTTGGGATTCGAACCGTGCACTATCGTGTTGTAGGGCCTTGCTTTCCACTATACCACATAACCCGTTATAGGCTAAAACACATAATAATATTCAAATAAAATCTAGATTAGCTACATTTCAATGAGAAGATTTTCAGTTTACCCTGCACTTTTGAACCTGTAAATCAAACGACAACAAAGATGTTTTGCTTCAAGCAGCTTGAGCGGCTTAACTCAGCGCCCGAAGAAAACAGAGAATTTCTGGTTTCAAGACAGAACGTGCTTTTCAAAACAAGCTGATGCCTGCCCACATATAATAAGGATAAGATTATACAAAAATTCGAAAGAACGATGTGCTGCCGGCCATATTCATTATGCTTTTCCTCATCGGGCGTTTCCTTTTTAAGCGATTTCCATAAATGACTTGGAACTTGACTTTGGAAAGAGCACTATGGTAAACGCTAAAAATATATTAAGGAAGACTTTTTAAGCAAATTGAATTATGAAAAAAATGACATTGTTATTAATTGATAATTTTGCTTCTGCCACGAGGTTGTTAGNACCAAGCGCTTCCCCCTCTAGCATTTCTGACCTTCTATCAGGAATGTACGAAATAATGTATTGTTGTTTATATAATAATATTGTTATTAATATAAATATTCAAAGCTAAATTTGCACTTTCCATCATTTCCAAGTCCAAAAAAAGAAAATAAGTCGCATATCTGTCGAATGGTACACTAGCCAATACCATAGCTTACCACATACGAGCAAAGTTTTCTAAGCTGGATTCATACAATGAATACTCACATATTTCGATTGGTTTCTTCCCTATTATTTCGGCTGCACTTCGCAATGCTCTTCATAAGGCTCTTGTTGTTGGGCTGGGGGGCAAAACGTTCAACGTTGGGCGGAGTCCGAACTTGCGTTCGTTCTTTGAGCAGGGTCGAGCTTACTCATCACATCGAAGGAGTCACATGAACTTCTTCCCCTGATGAAGAGGATAATCACATGTCTGACTGGTCAAATCGTTTTTCATTTCTTATGTTTTCCTGAAAAATAGCCCAGAACTACCGGAATATAGCCCCGACTTCGTAGATCACTTAAGCAAATTGTTGTTTTGACGGTGTACGACGGAATTATCAGAAACTTGGTTCTACAACATGTTTTTCCCCACAATCTCTGGCAGGTGTTCCGACTGCACACGGCTGTCTCGTTTTGTCACGTCACGTCCTTTTTATGCTTCTGATTTTACTTCATTTAGCAATGAGTAAGGAAGTTTTAGCAAGCAGTTAATCTCTGAAAGAATGTGCCTTAGTTTGATCTGAAATTATCCTTTTTTTAGAATTGAAATGAACGTTTTTTGCGGCTTAAAATTCCATGCTTCAAAGATATCGTATAGAATGTTTTCGACGATTTGCGGTCGACTTGTTACTANTTACAAGTCGAACCTATAGGTCACTCGATCATGTGAGCCAGAGAATTCAGTGCCTTGTTTAGTGCATTTATACTATTCATCTTCAGGTTTTTCAAAAATTCCTATATGGGAACCCTAGATCGTCTATTCCCCTTGATCAAATGTTCCTCCACCTCTTGAAATCGTTAGTTCCACGAAAAGCAAATTTGAAAATCATTTCAGCACCGACCTTCAGACTTCATGACTTTCCTGTCTTTTAGTGAAACTCTTGTAGTTTCCAAAAACTTGTGAAAAAATCTAGGTCCACAGTATTTTTGTCACTTTTTGGTCCCATATGAAGCCTATAGAATGGTCCAAGGAGTATTTTCTTGCACGAGTGTCTGTCATTTACCCTTGGATGGCCACAGTTTATTATCAGAGTTTTGTGGTTAGAACTTTAATTTCTTCAAACTAGGACGATCTGCGGGACTCCATATCTTTCCAGTGGAGCTTACTGATGTATGAGTTGATTAATACGGTGATCTGTTTGAAGTTTAGTTGAACGTTTTGTGACGTTAATTCATCCCATCGAAGGATGAGCCCCGCATTCGACTTACCATCAAAACCGCAGTGCCGCATTGGCTGCGCATGCAGCCTATACAATGTCTGGCGGTGGCCAGCTGATGTACAAGTCAGTGCTCTTATCCTCCCAGACGGGTCTGGTACCAGTTAACCAACCCTGGCGGATGGAAGGCTTGGTCAGCCTAGACGAGTAACGATATGGGACTCGAACCTTGGACCATGCGTGTGTGTTAGTGCGCTACTTGCCACTACACCATCTCTTCATTGGTAGGCGACTCCCTTCTAACAATAGGAACAACTGAAAGGATAGGATCGCGTGTTACAGTATTACAAAATAAATTGTACTTGTTACGAAACAATGATAGGGGTGGTTTTACTTTACCAAAATAGTAGTGCATGCCCTGGTATAGTACTGCCCTTTGGCCAGGCATCGATATACTTTCTCCCTTCGCCAATTTGTCAGTAGACGTCATTGACTATTAGTCATGCTCAACCGTGTACCATGTCCTTATCTTTCTGTATATAGTACTTATAAGTATTCTCTAGAATGCTTTGGAAGCCAGCAATTTTGTAATCGATCGTTTATTTCGATAGTATCTCAGAAACCAGTTACAGTTACCAATTAACTACCCGCGTACAGTCAGTCTCAGATCAGCAACATAGAACGCAGCCGTATCCAGTGCCAAATATGATTATCGATCGCTCGCGACCTTCTGCAAGTCCTCCTTTCTTCGAGGCACCTATCTCAATAATTAATTGAGAACGGTATTAGTGAGCTGACTTACTCATCCGTACTGAAGTAACCCTTAAACTGTGGCCCAGCCGAACTTTCTGGCCCGACAACAAGTACTTAAACTGATAAGGAAAGTTCGGATGCCTTTTCAAAAATGCCGCCCAGAGTGGGGATTTGTTTATCAGCGATTCTTGGGAGAGAGGCTCTCGCGTTCATTCAAAAAGGCAGCAGCACTTTGAACACACAACAAGAATCACCAGTGATGCAGCTCCCACATCCTTAGGGCCCCGATCGTTGCGCCACGATTCCCATCCCCTTCACCCACATTCAAAACCTTTCTTAACTTTTGCACTTTTTACTCGTAAGCAAGAGCCTCTTGGTATCATATCTGGAAGCTCTTCTTATTCAGTGAATTCTGTTTCGATTTCCGTGAACTCTGGTCTGGTTTTCTTCATTCAAAACTTAACACCGCAAACTTTCCATAGACCCTCGCAACCATCAGCGACTGCAGATCAAGTGCTTCGCGACAGGACCATGGGAAATGTTCATGTTTGCTTTGTCAGTTTAGCTTGTTCCTCTCACATTTCAAATCTTTTCGCTCTCATACTTCTAATATCAAATCAGATGGGAAGCACTTATGTGGTTCCACCCCGGATGTATACAAGCAAATCAACAAAAACAATTGAAGCGGTTTGGCTGCTACTGAAATAAAACTCTTTCTAGAAACTCAGAAATTGACAGTGTATCATGTTTAAGAATGCTACTCTTTCGAGCTTAAAATGGAATTTGTATTCGCCAAAAATTGTTGTTCGTCGGAGGCGTGAGCAATATGTCTCATCCCCTACTACACATAAAACGCAAAATCGTTCATCTAATTTATTTCTTGAGAAGTGTTGTTCGACCTCCTAACAAATTCCGCGGAAGCTACTTTTAAGGTGCACTATCGCACTTAAAAAAATAGCAAATTGTTTTGGAAAGTCTCGAAATGCTGCAAGATAGCGCGCTCCAATCCAAATCGCAGATTTCTTGTAGCAGCGCTGCGATTTCGACTACGAGCTGAAAACAGGAGGAACTTGGTGGTGCTGCTGTATTCTCCGATATCTCTGAGAAAATATTTATATGAAGTAGTCTTTTGTTAAAGAAACGATAGTATGCCAAAGAGCTTTGTTATGATGCGCCAGGTCTTGGGTATTTCTCAATTTTTCCTTTCAAAAAGAGTGAAGTATTCATGTTTTGCTTAATTCCTGTTGTTTTTACATCTAACATCTGTCTAGGAACGAATACATATTTGAGACATTATAAATGATTAATGTTGATGCTTCAATTTATATATTCATTGCTTATGACCTCTATGATTGTAGAATGAGGCTGTAATGGATGGATGGTAGGATGCATTTCTTTTCGATGAACCGTATATTCGATGATGCCAAGTTTTCCAGTTCAGTTTTTTCGGCAAATTCTTGCCGTGACCGTTTCACTGTTGTTTTACCATGTTTACTTGTTATCGTTCACTGTTCATTGATGTACCTGTCTAAAGTTGTTCTCTCCAAACTTTATCGTGAAATTTCGGGCCCTTATCGACTTTTTTTCAAGCATTTATCGCGAAAGAATTTGAGTCCTACACCGATAACTATCGTTTGCATCTGGGAGTGACTGATATTTTGTTTTTGGTACCATTTATTACTGGTCCTGATTACTTCGGCCTCGGTTTTTCCTTTGCAAAGTTGCACTGACTCGCGGAGGCAGTATTTACTCAATAGACATTTGATTGAATAAGCTTTTTTTTCTTTGACGCAATGATATGGTGAAATAACATCTGAAATATTCGAAATATTTAGTTGGAAACTTTCCAAAAACGTCAAAACCCCTTGAATCATCAGATTTTGTTGCATTTTGCTTCCCTCTGACGTTTAGGAACCATCTTTTTTCCTGCACCACTGAAGGCCACTGAAGAGCTAGCACCAGCCCCAAAACAACTGTTCTGATATCGTCGCCCCCGACAGAACAATTATGCATACCATAACATGGTGTGTCACTAAATCTGATAATGTTCAAGGATTGTCAACGATGGCGGAAGTCGTACCGCCAACGTCACTTGGTTCGTCTAACGGATCTCCCGACTCACCATTAATTAGGTTGGTTGCCTCATTTTTTCTCCTCGACTTTTTTCGGACAACTCAAATTGAATTTCAGTGGCGAATCAGTCCCAAAGGAAGTTGCTCAACTTGCTGAAAAGTATCAGTTTTCGATTAAGGATGAGCGAAGTATTCAAAAAGAGGTCCAGATTACTTTCATTTTTCTAATGATCATCTATATAATGCGTTTATTTCATTGTTTTAGGTAATTGAATTGAAGAAAATCATACGATCAGCAGTGAAGAAGCAAATGAGAATCAAAGCCGGATATGTCCAAATGCAGGTTTGTACCGATACTTGATCTGTGCCTTTTTAATTACCTAATTTCTGTTATTTCTAGAAGGCAACAAATGGAAAGAAGCAGTTGGATTATTTAAAGAGAGAGGTTCGAGATCTCAGCGATCAGATTAGTGACATGCAAGACGATCTTCAAATTCTCGATGTCTATGATACGGGTGCTTTTGGTCGGTTAAATTTATTATCATTTGGCTTAAGTTTTGATCCAATTGATTTGCTATCTAGGAAATTCGATGAGAGGCTAATATGTAATTTACAAGGGGGACCATTTATTGGAATTTGGGCATTTGTATTTTAGGGATTACTTACAAATTATGACTTTGGGAAATCCATTATTATGGCTTTTTATGGACCACAGGAAAAGAATAAGAAGCATTATATCCCCATTTTTCCCACCCACCATGTTACTGCTTTTTGAGCACTTACTCATTCCTTCTCGATCTCGAAAAGTTATGTCCACAAATCTCGCTTCAACAAAAACATGGGGAATCGGGCAAGTAACCATCGATCATGACAAATGTCGTCATCATGGTAATGATTACACTTTTGTGCGGCATAGAGGGTACATTTCNAAAAAAGCCATGGTAATGTTCGATTGGTGCAATGGCAAGGTAAACTCGCACTGATAGCTTTGGAATCATTCAACGGTGGTAATAACAAAAATATTTTCCATCCTGGTCAAATCGGGCAGCGCCCTCGCTGTGTAAAATTGTTGCAGTCCATCGATCGGGAAGTGTTTTTCCCTTTGTTTGACATTGATATCAATCAGTTAGTGAAGTCTTACCTCTTCCTACTTTTTTGTAGTCATTTGTTTTCAAAGATTTTCCCTAGTATGAATATGTAACAAAGAACCGTGCATCTCCGACATTATTCGTTCCCAAATGCATGTTATTGATGCTGTGCCACAATAATTTTTCATTCTATGCATGCTTCTTTTATGCCGATGATAATGCCGGGGCTTGGTTATGCTGGCTTGGGCGAAATGCATTTGATATGTCTGGGTTGATTGTTTCGAATCCAAGGCTACTTCTCTGCCAACATTTTTACTCTCCAGGGACGTCCTGCCACTTTTGTCTCGCGGGAGTTCAAGCCATCCATTTAATGGTTGCGCTATTCCGCGCCGAGCTTTTACTAATTTATTGAGTGAGTAGCTGTAGTGCATGTATGGATATAAGTGAACCGAGGGGAATAGAAATCCATCCTCAGCAAGTGATTCCATTGGCTTTCCTTCAGGGTGCCAGCCATACAATTTTTCTTATTCTGAAATGAATAAACATATGGAACACAACGGGGCTCCGTTCACATCGCCATATTTATTGCCTTCGACGGGTATTGTGATGAACACTAACGGACGTCAGCCGTTGGCGATTCATTGCAAATGAAAAGATGTGGAATTTTTTATCGAGTGAATGACACGCTTTCAATTCGATCGTCCAAAAAGCAAAAGTTTTGATCAATCGAGAAGTATGTACTTTGTCTCTCATACGAGTATGTGCGGCGTTTTTGGGCGCAGCGAAATTTTCGCTCCCGAAGTTTTTACGGTAGTCAATCTTTGAAATACGCGGATGCAATCTTAAGAGAGATGAAAGGGTTTCATTTCGAGTGAAAGTGATCTGGTTTCTGATGGATCTGATGCGGTTTCTGTCTTTTTAAATAATGAGGACCAGCTCTTTTGTTTGGGTTTGCTTGAATTCAACTAATACAGCCAGGAAAACCATCTGCAGCTTGGGAAATGTTCCCACTCTATTGAAGCTGAGCCAGCTACTTGGGAGAGCTCATCCTTATTCTTTCAGATGATGAAGAGTCAAGGTGCGATGAACCAATTTTGGGAGCTACTGGAGCTCCTCTTGATTTAGCAAGTGATGTTGATGTGAATGAGCGAAGAACTCATCATGCCATTGAAAACTCGAGGCTTTCTGCCCTGCAGGTTCGAAAAAACTTTTGCTTTGTGATTTTAATCCTAATGGTTTAATGAGGATAATTTTCATCGTGGAGGGTCTCCTCTCACATTTTATACGATTTTTCCGGTTGACGTGATTTCATCGAGTTGGTTTTGGCTTGAATGTGGCCACTTCATTTATTCAAGGAAATTACTTTTACTTGGTCTTTTATATCACGATTGTTGAATCATTAGCAGTATGGGATCAATCCTTGCTATTACAAGTACTTTCAGAAAGATCTTGCCAAGGAAATGAAGGTGAAAGATGGTTTGGAGAAGTTTATGTCATCCAACACGTCTGCAAGTAGAAGGTATTTGGAAGATTCCAGAAACATGCTCGACGTCAGTTTTCTTCTTTTTATAAATCCTAATTCTATACGGTGTTCTGAATGTATTAGGTCCATTATAGGACAGCAAAGCAAAAATTGCTCTATTACGTATGCAAATAGAGAAGATTGCACATCAAGGGCATGATATTCATTCAAGCAATGGTTTGTTTCTTTTTTTCTCGGATGTTGTTGGGCTTTGAACCGTACTCTTCATAGCTATTGGTTGTTTTTCTTAGGTAGTGAAGCAAAATCGCAGTTGGATATCGTCATAGATGATCTCCTGTTCCGTTTATGGAAAGAAGCAGCGATCATCGAGGGTGCGAAAAATATGGTTAAAATACTTCGTGCTCAAAGAAAAACTGATCACCGGAGCCTAAACGATGTGAGACACTTCTGAGCTTTTATTTTTTATCTTGGTTATTTTCACTTTTTTTTACACCTACTAGGCTTTTTGCGAGTAGGTTATTAAGTTATGGTTTCAGGCTCAGCAAACACTTATTCTTTCCGAAGAAAAACTTGATCTCATTCTTATGGCGCTGAGGAAATACATGTGAGTTCGGCGATGTAATCTGTGCTCCCAACACATTTCTCACATTCCATTAATAGGTTTTATTTCCTGTTCGTTTTTTTTCCTTCTAAGAGCGTGGTATATTTTTTTATCACTGTGGTTCAGCAAAAGGTTGTCGTCCTTTAGTGAACAACTGCCACCTGAGTCCACTCGTCGTAAAGAGTTGCTAAATGAAATGGAGGAGACTCGTATGCCATCTTCATCACCTCATGGACGTTTTGCTGATCGCCGTTTCAGCCCTCCTGGATCAGCCCCCAGCAGCCCTCCTTCTGTGAGTCTGAACTACGCGATGATGTTGTTACCGTTTCTGCCCTTCTAGCTATCACTTTCATGTTATTTTTTTATCAAGATTTGCTTAGTAAACGAAATAAAACAAAAAGAGAACGCCGACGTTGAGGAAAACAACGGCCTTTTTTATGAACTTCATTATGGAGTCCTGCTAGTGCTCAATGTTTCAGGAAGCATCATCGAAGACGGCTAGTCTTCCACGAAGCTTGTATTCCCGGCGACTGAGTACCCTGCCACCGTCACTGGCTGTGAGTGGACGATTAGAGGTAGGATCTTGCTTGCTCGAGTTTTTTTCTAGTTAATACTGTATGAAACGGACAGCTCTTGAGCAGCGATTGCAGCTCTAGCCATTTTCTTGGTTTCAGATAAGACTGATAGGGTGCCAGAACTTGGTCAGTGAAGTCCCTGGGCGTCTCCCTCGTGCTGAAGCTTTAGGAGCGACTGCTTCAAGTTCTTTGACAACCGAAACCACAAAAAGCAGTAAAATTCGGACATCTTCCACACGCAGTCACAGGTAGTGCTCAGATATCTGAACCAATGAACAACTGAACAAATGAGCAGCTCCGTTTCAGCACTGTTACACGACAGTCTGACGAAGTCATAGCTCTCCTGCGAGTGGATAGTCGGATCGTTGGACATACTGAAGCTCGACCGCTCAGCCAGCAGGCATGGGATCAGCGATTTAGCGTAGATCTAGATAGGGTAAGATATTTGACAAGCTTATATATGTTACTCTTCCTAGCTTTAGCGTTGATTAATTTCTTATTTATTGACTCTTTTGTTTGATGGGTCATTTTTCAATAATTCTTGTTTGGTGGATTATTTTCTTAACAGTTTTCCCTTATTGCAGTCGAAGGAGCTGGAAATAGAAGTGTTTTATCGTGATTCACGATCCATGTGCGCTTTCACAGCTGTGAAACTGGGAAATTTCGTTGAGCCGACGGGTCAGGCTGGAATGGTCCTTCAACTGGAGCCTCATGGAGACTTATTTGCAGAGGTTTGTTTTTTGCTTTCAGTTTTCTCCCTCTTCTTGTTGCAATTTCAATGTTTTCAGTTCAAATATTTGAATCCGGTGATCAGTCGTAAACCGAAGCTCGAGCGGCAAAAGCGGTTGTTCAAAGTGAAAGGTATGCCGTTTTCGTAAAGGATGGGGTCTGTAGAAGCATCACATCTGGGAGTGAGGCTGTATGAGCCCGACATATTTGGATTTTGTAAAACGGGCGATGTTTCAGAACGGAAAGATATGGCCGGTGTTAAGAAGCAGCTAGGAGTTCATGCGTTATCTCGAATGCTGAAAGGTCGAGAAAATGAGCCGGTTGTAGACTACGGAACTGCTGGCGTCCAACCAGGTTTGTGGATTTTTTGAGTAGTCCTTGGTTAAAAGATTTTTTGTATCTGGTCTTTGCTAAGCGAATTATTTTGAAATGCGAGTTCCTTCCCGGCGGATTATAAGTGAATTTCTCAATTTTTGCAGGTTATGGTTTTCCTTCAAAGACATCTACTGTATCAGCGTCCACTCGTGACGTGATCAAAGATCGCACCACTCCCTTTGCGGATAGTGCTACTAGGTACGTAATTTTGTAATTTACTTTGGTATTATTTGTTGCTGCTTTAGACCCGCTGTACTTAAGGTTTTCCCAAACCCTTCAATCGGCCTTCGGAGTAGACACCTCTGTTACCTCACCTCATCGACATGTGCAACAACACAGTGA